TTTTTTGCAGCGCGAGTGCATCTCTATCCACGTGGGACAAGCTGGGGTGCAGATCGGCAATGCCTGTTGGGAGCTGTACTGCATGGAGCACGGGATCCAGCCGGACGGGCAGATGCCCTCTAGCAAGAACGACGGAAGGAGGGACGACTCCTTCTGCACGTTCTTCAGCGAGACGGACTCCGGGAACCATGTGCCCCGGGCCATCCTGGTGGACCTGGAGCCCACTGTGGTGGACGAGATCCGGACGGGGGTCTACCGCCATCTCTTCCATCCGGATCAGCTGATCACGGGGAAGGAGGACGCGGCCAACAACTACGCCCGGGGGCATTACACCGTCGGGAAGGAGATCGTGGATCTCGTGCTCGACAAGATTCGGAAGCTGGCGGATCTGTGCACCGGTCTCCAGGGTTTCCTCATCTTCCGGTCTTTTGGGGGTGGAACCGGGTCCGGATTCGCTTCCCTCCTCATGGAGCGTCTATCCGTTGACTATGGAAAGAAATCCAAACTGGAATTCTCCATCTACCCTGCTCCCCGGGTTAGTTTCACTCGCCCCTAGTAAGTTACCAGGCCGAGACATCGGGGGAATGATGCAACGAAATGTATTTACAGGTATCTACGGCGGTCGTGGAACCATACAATTCCATCCTGACGACCCACACGACCCTGGAGCACTCGGACTGCGCCTTCATGGTGGACAACGAGGCCATCTTCGACATCTGCCGGCGGAACCTGGACATCGAGCTCCCCAGCTATTCCAACCTGAACCGACTCATCGCCCAGGTCGTGTCCAGCATCACGGCGTCTCTCCGCTTCGACGGAGCCCTGAACGTGGACCTCACGGAGTTCCAGACCAACTTGGTCCCGTATCCTCGGATCCACTTTCCCCTGGCCACGTACGCCCCCATCATTTCGGCGGAGAAGGCCTACCACGAGCAGCTCTCGGTCTCCGATATCACCAATTCCTGCTTTGAACCGGCCAATCAGATGGTGAAGTGTGACCCCCGACACGGTGAGCGTCCCCCTCCCTTGCCTAACTTCTGAGACTTTATGCAATCATATTAAATAATAGGACTATTGGGTTAATCCCGATATGAGCACCAGGGAGAGGTACTGAAAATGTTGCAAGAGATCATCTTTATGCGTAGGAGATACATTTTGCCCACCATTCTTCTAACGCAAACAAGGACAAATAGGTTTGCCGTAACCATAGCATGCAAGTGGCAGTAGAAGAGTTGAAATGCATTCCATAACTTTATATTTTCTTACTTTCGTCTGCCCCCCGAAGTCCCAACGACGAAGCGCGTCAAACATTCCATTATCAGGACCACTTTTTGAATCTCCCGCAGGGAAATACATGGCATGCTGCATGCTGTACCGAGGCGACGTGGTCCCGAAGGACGTGAACGCCGCCATAGCTACCATCAAGACCAAGCGATCGATCCAGTTCGTGGACTGGTGTCCGACTGGATTCAAGGTGGGCATCAACTACCAGCCCCCGACCGTCGTCCCCGGCGGGGACCTGGCCAAGGTGCAGAGAGCCGTATGCATGCTGAGCAACACCACTGCCATCGCCGAGGCCTGGGCGAGACTGGATCACAAGTTCGATCTCATGTACGCCAAGAGAGCTTTCGTCCATTGGTACGTGGGGGAGGGGATGGAAGAAGGAGAGTTCTCGGAGGCTCGGGAAGACCTCGCCGCCCTAGAGAAGGACTACGAAGAGGTCGGCGTGGATTCCACCGAGGAAGGCGAAGAGGGACACGAGGAATACTGAGGTTCCTTCCACAGGGCAGCGGGCTCTTCCATGGTGCTCCTTCACAGCCTCATCTCTTATCATTTCCTCAGATTCTAATACCTCTCTCCCCATTATACTAATTTTTCACATTTCGTTCATGGTCTTCTATTACCCCAACATAAAATATGATTTTGAGCCAAAAGCTTTTATCGTTATATTTTGATGGGAACCGAAAAAGGGGAGACAGTGCTCATCGCTTCCGCTAATCCTAGGATGTCTTATGAAGAGGCAAACAGATGCATTTTAATACGCCATTTTTTACGCTGCCACGGATTCCCCCACCCACACCTAATGGAAGGAAAATGGAAGAGAGGTGGGGGCAAAGATTTCCTGTCAGTCTACCCTCCATTGCTTAATCACGAAAGGCGAAAATGATCGCCACCTTCTAATTCGGTGGAGCCTTTTCCACTTCTTGTCAATGATCTTATCAACTATCATGCAAAGGCGGCTTTCGACGGTACCCATCTAGCAAGTGCAAACTCCTTGATTATACATGCTTTTTGTAGGCGTTCAGTCGACGTAAGAAGCAGGAAATTGGTCCCAAAAATGACTGGTCAACTGATGAAAGAAAAAATAAATAAAGTTTCTTTTCATGGGGATGTTCGCGTTCATTTCTCAACAGGCGTAAATTTTACTTTCATTTGTTCCGAGCTCTGTACATAGCACGAAACCTTGAGTTGAATGAAGGCAATATTAGTAAGTCGAAGACAAATATGCATTCATTTTCGCGAAAGTCGCGTATTCCGACCCAAATCGCTCTCGTGGAATACCGGAAAACATTTTTTTGAGAAGTAGTGAAGAAAAAAAACCTCCCCAGAGCAGAGTGATTTCTGACGAAAGGCTGAGAGCATATCGGCATTGCAATCCGCTAACTGCTCCTGTGCTGCTTCCACTGAGCACGACAAATGTTTCCGTTCCAAGAGATAGAAGAAAAGCAACCTAGCAATTACCCGAGCTTCTTGGGTGGATATTGCCCTTGCTTTTCCGGTTCATGGCTCGCAGTTCCGTGCCGCGACGGCGACTAATTCAATACTCTTTCAATGCTCTCTTCGTCTCCTTTCATTCTGTCTACAATAAATGACTTGCAGGAGTCGAGACAGGACGACGAAGATGGAAGGGTTGGCCTCACTCCACTGCCTCTTTGTTCTTTCTGAATGGTGAAGTCGTGCCATGCAAGCTGCCGTCAAAGTCGCAGGCGAGCTAAGAGGAAGGTCCCCCCCCCCCCCCCCCCCCCCTTCTCTCTGGGAGCACGTCTACCTTGCGAATATACTTTCTGGAGTCTTTTAACCCGAAGGCATTGGGTATGGCATCGGTCTGCCTGAATGCAATGGTTCAAGATCCTCAGCATGGAGGGGGACGAGAAGTCGCGAAAATTCTCCGTTGCCGTCTTTTTCACGTCTCACCTGCCAGGTTACGTGTCGCCAACTTCACCTTCGGGTGCTCACAGCCTTATTCTCGTGGACTGCTGCACCGCATCCCCAACTTCGTACACACGATTCCATCACCACCGTTGCTAATTTTTTTTAAATTGCCGTCGAACGGCAATTTAGCAGTGGCAGCCGAGAGACAGACCGGGACGATACCTCTAAGAAACCCCAACGATGCGTTTGAGTTCGGAGATTCCTCATCTACCTGGCAGGAGTCGGTGCCACCTTCCTCGTAGCCAGCGCAGAACATGTTCTTGGTGAGCACCATCTCGGGGTTGAAAGCCTGAAGCCAGTTGTGGCACGTACTCCAGTCCACCAGGTGGATCTCCGCCTCGTTGATGACTTCCTCGTACTTCGCGTCTGCAGCGGGAGAAACGAGAGGCGTGACGAAGGGGAAAGTGACCAGGAGGAAAGGGGGAGATTCTCGTCCTCACCGGTCTGTTCCTGGGTCTTCCCCCACCCGATGATGGTGCACCGCTGGAAGGCCTTCAAGGAGGCGTTGGCGGGAGGGAGGCAGGCCGGGCGGAGGCTGTCGTGAAAACTCACCGCCTTATCCAACTGAAAGGGAATGCCCATCCGGGCGTTTAAAATCCAACCGCAGAGGATCGGGAATTTCGAGAGAAAGAGAAGGAGATGCCTGGATGAGGCCGATGTCCCGATCGTGCGTCTCCTCGTGGCTGTAATACGGATGTGGGAAGACTTTCTTGACCCCGCGCACCTCGGCGTACCTCGCGTGGGAGTTCCTCCGGGTCATCCCCAGCCTCAACGTCCACCCGCTCACGTCCCTCTGCCTGGCAGCGGGAGAT